TGAACCCGGGAGGCGGAGCTTACAGTGAGCCGAGATGGTGCCACTGCACTCCAGCCTGGGTGACCGAGCGAGACTCTGTCTCAAAAAAAATAAAAAAAAAAGATATTAACTCTTTCTTATATATTGCAAATGTTTTTCCTAGGTTCTTTTTTTTTTTTAAATTTCTTTCACCATATGGAAGTTTGGAAATATTATATGGTCAAATTAGCTAATCTTTCCCAATATTCTTTGTCACTACACTACAGTGCCAAGTGAAGTGGTGACAACTATGGCTGAAGGATGGCAATTAAAAAACAGGGAAGCTTCCTGAAAATAAGAGGTGATGACAATGGGATGAATAAAGGGAGAATCTTTCATCTGAGATAAATACAAATGCTCAACTTCTGCTGTTTGTTTTGTTTTGTTTTGTTTTTAAAGTGGTAGGGGTCTCACTATATTGCCCAAGCTGGAGTGCAGTTGCTATTCACAGGTATGATCATAACATACTGCAGCCTCTAACTCCTGGGCTCAAGCAATCTTCCTGCTTCAGCCTCCCAAGTAGCTGAGACTACAGGTGCATGCCACCGTACCAGGCCTCAACTCTTATTCTTAACAACATGCCTTGGATGAGTAAAGTATGTTATACACAAAAAACTAGGGCAGGGAAATACCAGATCACTTCTGGAAAGCCCTGCCAAGACAGGGTTTTTGCTTAATCCCTGGCTGCAGTTCCTAGGTAGGAGGGTCAATATGGAGGAAAGAATCTCCAAGGACTGTAAGAGTAGGGACAAGCCAGGATTCGGCAGAGGTGTCAGAAAGGTCTTACTTTCTGGATTACTGCCTAGCACACACATGAAGCCCTTGCAGGAAGGACTGCCAAAAGCTTGGTAGAAGGCTGTGCACCACTTCGCCAGCCTTCAATCAACATGCACCAACTGCAAACCAAATGACAACATCTCCAAGTATAAAAATAGGATGCTACCTTGTGTTCTCATCATATTTATACAGAATCAAAAATAACCCAGACAAAACCTCAGAGCTGCCTGTCCCACTGGCCTGCTTGCAACTGTGTTTGTACCTGGGGTCTCTCCAGGAGCACCTGGGGTCAGGGTTCCAGCCACTGTCTCCACAATGATCTCCATGTTCCCTGGACCCTCTTCGGTTGCTGTGGCCTCTACCAGCAGGCAGCCTGGCTCAGTAGGCAAAGGCGCAGGGTCCCCGGAAGGACAGGGGCTCTGGACAGGCCCCAGGATTCCACGGTTAGAGAGAGGCGGGGGGATCAGCAATAGCTCAGGACACAGTCCATCCATCTCTCCGGTGCTATGGGCTGGCTGTGAGTCCAAAAGTGGGTCTGTCATCACCACCGACTTGTGTGTTTTGGCCTCTTAAATGCTGACAAGCCAACCAGAAGAAAAACAAAGTAAAGTTAGAGTTCCTACTTTCTTCCCAGCTGGTGTGGGTACACAGCCCAGTGCCCACCGACTTAGGCATTTTCTTGCATGGCAATATGCCACATATACCTTATGAGACTAAATAGAGGCTTTCTTTTATGATAATGTTCAGAACAAAAAGTATAAAAATGATAACGGAACATTAGGAGAGAGCCAACAAGTATTGGCCAACATATTAATGACTGCAGGTTGTCTCCCGCTAGCTAAGCGCCCTTAGCCAAGTCATTAAGCAATTTGGGTCTCAGATTTCTTATCTGCAGCAAAATTAGGTGGGGCCAAAGAATCTCAGAAGTCCCTTTTTTTTTGTTTTGAGACAGAGTCTCGCTCTGTCACCCAGGCTGGAGTGCAGTGGAGTGATCTCGGCTCACTGCAACCTCCAGCTCCTGGGTTCAAGCAATTCTCCTGCCTCAGCCTCCCTACTAGCTGGACTACAGGCAGGCGACACACACGCCTGGGTAAATTTTGTATTTTTAGTAGCGATGGAGTTTCACCATGTTGGCCAAGCTGATCTCGAACTTCTGACCTCAGGTGATCGGCCCACTTTGGCCTCCCAAAGTGCTGGGATTACAGGCGTGAGCCACCTTGCCTGGCCCCTTTCTCTCTTAACCTTTGATAATCTCACTATTCCTCAGAATGGATTATAAGGCAGGCCCTTCCTTCATCATCTGGATCCTGCTGACCTCCCCAGACTCATCTCCCACTTCTCCCCTCAGCAGATCTCTGAACCAGATGATGTGCCATTCTCCAGACTCACAACATTCTCTTTTGCTTTTATACCCTCATAGCCTTTTGCGTCTCTTGGCTTGATACGCCTTTTCCCCTTTTCAATCTTTCTCTCTTGTCTGGCTAACCAATTAACTATCCTTGAAGAAGCTACACAAATGTCACTTCCACCATGAAGGCTTCCTGACATTCTTTTTTTTGAGACAGTCTTAGTCTGTCACCCAGGCTGGAGTGCAGTGGCATGATCTCAACTCACTGCAACCTCCGCCTCCTGGGTTCAAGCGATTCTCCTGCCTCAGTCTCCTGAGTAGCTGGGATTACAGGCATGCGCCACCATGCCTGGCTACTATTTTGTATTTTTAGTAGAGATGGGATTTCTCCATGTTGGTCAGGCTGGTCTTGAACTCCCGAACTCAGGTGATCCACCCGCCTCAGCCTCCCAAAGTGCTGGGATTACAGGCGTGAGGCACTGTGCTGGCCTGGCTTCCTGACACTCTAATTTTCTCTCTTCTGGCATCCTGAGGGCACTCTGTACACAGCCCTTTCAGAAACGAGGTCACACTGCACTGTTTTTTACCCATCAGTCTCTCTCCCTAGATGTGTAGCTTTTTAGTAATTTGTTGACATTATCACTTCAATGACATCACTTTGTGATACTGATGTTATCACTTCAACGAACACAAATCACCCACAATCGAAGCTTCCAGTGAAGAAGCACAGACATGGAGCTGCACTGGAGTAACGCTAGGTATCTTGCACTAAACCAGTGGTTCCTCACCTATAACATAACACGTTTGGAGAAATTTCAAACTCATTAACTGACTATGGCCTCAAACTAAATATGGGAACATAACTGAGAAATGAATGACAATTAAATTGCATACCCTGTTATACATGGCTAAAATGAGTTTAGGCTGAATAATTAGTAATTAATAAGAATGATAGGAATCACTTCATGAAATTGAGTCACAGAGAAGATGCAAAAAGAAAAAAAAAAAAAAAGAAGAAACCAGGCGGGGCACGGTGGCTCATGCCTGTAATCCCAGCACTTTGGGAGGCCGAGGCGGGTGGATCGGGCGGGCCGATCACCTGAGGTCAGGAATTCGAGACCAGCCTGGCTAACATTGTGAATCCCCATTTCTACTAAAAGTACAAAAAAACAGTAGGGCGTGGTGGCACACGCCTGTAATCATCCCAGCTACTCGGGAGGTTGAGTGAGGAGAATCACCGGAACCCGGGAGGTGGAGGCTGCAGTGAGCCGAGGATCGCACCAATGCACTCCAGCTTGGGCAACAAGAGCGAGAAACTCCGTCTCAAAAAACAGACAAACAAGCAAACAAAACCCAAGATCCTGCAATCTGATAGTCCCTATTTCCAGAATCCCACGACTCAAAACAACAGATCATAGGGATTCACAAGGTGGCTGGGAAGTGCACTCCCGTGGCCAGAGGGATTCTCTGGAAACCGCAGCCTCCACTTACTGAATATTATCGCTGCTCTGGGGAATCTTCCAGCTTGGCCATACATGGCCTCCGGGGGGAGCCAAGGAGGACGCTGAGCCGTCAAGATTAAGAACCTTCACCTGAGGAAGGGCAGCGTGAGGTAGGAGACAGGTGGGCACGAGAGAAGAAATACGCTTATCTTCCGGGCAGGAGGACTGAGGAAGAGAAAGGACAGACTAAGGCAGAGAGGAGGTCTGGAGAAATAACGGGCCCCGGCCCAGGGACCCAGGTTCCCACTTGCCTCTGGCTCTGACTCACCGCGTAGCCTTGGACAGACACAGTCGCATCGCTTCTCTGGGCCTCAGCTTTCCTGTCTGTAAAATGGAGGTGATGACAGTGTCCACATCGCCGGGCGGGAGCTGGATCATAAGAGCCAACGAACGGGAAAGGCGGCTTGTAACCTGGAAGGCTTGGGATGGAGCATCGTCATGATTTTGGTCCTGAGAGCAGCGGGTACCGGGCGGGGTCCAGAAGCGTGACGCAACTGCGGTGCCGGGGCCCAGCTCCTCTGGGTGCTCCCTTCAGTACCTCCTCCCGAGAGTTCCCAGAGCCCAGGCCCACCCTGATCCCGGGGCTCGAAAAACTTTGCCTCCAGCTTGCTTCACCCGCGTTCCCTTCCCAGTTCCGCCCCGCAGCTACTCACTCACCTCCAGACCCCGTGCCGGCTGGAGCCGCATCTCTATGGTCGGCCGCGGCTGGAGCGGCCCCCGGTGCCCCCTTTGTGCGACCGCCTCCGCCCAGCCGCCTCTAGGATATTGGGGATGTGGAAGCCACTCTCTCTTCCTCTTGCCGGCTGCCGGGGTACTCTATGTTTTCTCTCTCTGGTTTTTCCCGCCCTCCACCCCAACTCCAGCCCTGAAGCCGGAGAAGCACCATCGAGAGCTCTGGGATAGAGTGGCGTGGGCTTCTTGGTGGGTGTGGCGGGAAGTCGATGAAAGGACCCGGGGCGGGGCCGAGCGCAGCTTCCCCAAAGTGCAGGCGCGGTGAAACCATCGAGACAGAGGGCCAGAGAGTCGTATCGGTGAGAAGGCTGAGCGACGGATTACCCCAAAGCATGTGGCTGGAGGCGCGAGCTGGGGTGTGGGCGAGGTTCCTGGGTATCGCTGAGGGGCCGGAGGCGGGAGAGCTTTGTCTGTGGCCTTCCATGCATAGGTGTTTTGGAATTCTGGATACCAATTCTGAGGCTCAGCCGAGGTCTCTGCTGTCAGCTCATCTCCCTGCATGCCAGGGGCAGGGCAAAGTGGCCGGGGTTCAGGGTTGGAGGAGAGGTGTACTAGAAACAACTTCGCGCTTATCCCTCAGGATCTTATTGTCTACAATGTGACGATCCGTGGAGAAAGTAGCAGATGGGCAGATTTTCAGTTGGGGAGAATGAGGGAGAAAAGAACAGGCATTCCGAGCCAAGAGAACTGTATGAACAAGGAGTTGGGAGGTTGCTTACTTGTTGAACATATTTGTTGCGTATTTGCATATTTACTGAACAGGTAGTGTTGGGAGCTAATCCATGAAAGGTAGGTGGGCGCCGAATTGTAGAGGGTCTTGAGTACCAGGCTGAGTTTGTACCCAGTTCAGGGGTCTGTTGGGAGCCAGCCATTGAAGGTGCTGGAGCAGAGAGAGAGATGGAATTGGAGCTTATCCCTATGATGAAAGATCTGGACCCTTTTGTAGCTGTTCCATGAAGCCGGAGGTGAAGACCTTTTAAAATGCCATTTCAAGAACTATGATTTTAAAGACAGTTTAGGTGGGAGGTAATTAAAGGTATAAACAGGACATTAGATATTGGGGATGTAAGGGTGAGGATATTTGAAGGACATTACTCATAACAAGGCATAGGGTTACTGACAAGTCAGTGGATGCTTCTCCCTTGCTGACTGCAGCCAGTGGGCCCCTTTTTATCAAAGCTGGTCCCAGGGACGACAAAAATCTTGTCCATCCATTATCCTGATGTGAAGCCAGTTTATATAGCTCTTTTTGGTTTAAGGCATCTCCAGACATGGTCCTCTGGTAGGAAACAGGTGTGAGTAGACTAATGAAGGGCAAAATGGGATGAGGGGCCTGGAGTCTCCACCCTTGCATTCCAACACTACCCTTACCCCACAAAAGGAGGATATTGACCCACACAGTAGTGCTGACCTGTGGGCAGGGCTGGGGAGGTCCAGTTTCTAAAGTAATCTTGTGCTTTGTCCCTTCTCCACTGTTTCCCACCCCTAGGTTTTTGTAACACTCCAGGGCCTGTAAGGTTTGGTGTTTCCCTTTCAAGATGCCACTTTCAGACTTTATTCTGGCCCTGAAGGACAATCCCTACTTTGGGGCTGGATTTGGGCTGGTGGGTGTGGGCACAGCCCTGGCCTTGGCCCGGAAGGGTGCCCAACTGGGCCTGGTGGCATTCCGGCGCCATTACATGATCACACTGGAAGTCCCTGCTCGAGACAGGAGCTATGCCTGGTTGCTTAGCTGGCTCACCCGCCATAGTACCCGTACTCAGCACCTCAGTGTCGAGACTTCGTACCTTCAGCATGAGAGCGGCCGCATTTCCACTAAGTTTGAATTTGTCCCCAGCCCTGGAAACCACTTTATCTGGTAAAGTTGGGAGCTAGGGAGGGCTGTGCGAGTAGAAAAGAATGATGGAAGCTTGGTTTGACCCATTCACTCACTCTTTTTTGATCGTTCTTATTCAGGTATCGGGGGAAATGGATCCGGGTAGAACGAAGTCGAGAGATGCAGATGATAGACTTGCAGACGGGAACTCCTTGGGAATCTGTCACCTTCACGGCCCTGGGCACTGACCGAAAGGTTTTCTTCAACATCCTGGAGGAAGGTGTGGGATGGCACAGGCAGGCTTTCTCGGGACATTGCAGGGATGGGGACATTTGACATCAGATGAGCAGTTTGGAGAGGTGGAATAAGCAGGCTGTGGTGAGCCCATGGGAACAGGGGGAAGCTGTTTGGCTCAGCTCCACCTAACTGAAGAATCAGCCATGGTGAAGAGAATTACTGGCTTTATCTCTTCTCCTTCCCAGCTCGAGAGCTAGCCTTGCAGCAGGAGGAAGGGAAGACCGTGATGTACACAGCTGTGGGCTCTGAATGGCGTCCCTTTGGCTATCCACGCCGCCGGCGACCACTGAATTCTGTGGTTCTGCAACAGGGTCTGGCTGACCGAATTGTCAGAGATGTCCAGGAATTCATCGATAACCCCAAGTGGTACACTGACAGAGGTGAGAAGCAGCTGGGGTCTCGGCTGTGCTGTTTTTGACATTTTTAGAGGGGACAGGTTGGTCTCTGGCCAGATGAGGTGATATAAAGCTCTAGTCCAATTCCCAGAGATTAAGAGGAATGAAAAGTTGTGTATGAGAATGATTTACTTCTGTACCAAGATTATCAGGCTTCCAGGGGCCAGGGCTGGGAATGAACATGGATATCTGGGGCAAAAGACATGATCATCCTGGCTCTATCCCTAGGCATTCCCTACAGACGTGGCTACCTGCTTTATGGGCCCCCTGGTTGCGGAAAGAGCAGTTTTATGTGAGTATTCAAAATTTCTCTTAACTTGGCAAAATGAAGCCTTTTTGGAAACGCTGGGCTGATGGGGTTGGAAAGGGAAATGAATCTGGGAACTGGGGACCGGGGACCAGGATAAACATGAAATGTGTGGAACATTAGGGTGTGAGGTAGAAATCAGGCCTCTGAGACACATGTCCCCAGACTGTGAGGAGAGTAGCTGGGCCTGAGGAAGCATTTCCAGGTTGCCTGCTACTTCCTGCCATCCCATCCTCCATAGCACAGCCCTGGCTGGGGAACTGGAGCACAGCATCTGCCTGCTGAGCCTCACGGACTCTAGCCTCTCTGATGACCGGCTCAACCACCTGCTGAGCGTGGCCCCGCAGCAGAGCCTGGTGCTCCTGGAGGATGTGGATGCTGCTTTTCTCAGTCGAGACTTGGCTGTGGAGAGTAAGTGAGGGGTTCTGGAGGAAGGGGAGTGAGTAACTGTGGAACAGGGGAAGAAAACAGAAATCCAGAGGGCTGGTGGAGGATGCCTGGGTTAGTGACAAGAGCCCATGAGACGCATGGATAAGTAGGGGAACATAGTGGGGCATGCTGATTTTATGCTGGGCTATGACTACTCATGCTTCCTTATCTTTGCCTTCCTCCAGACCCAGTCAAGTACCAAGGCCTAGGTCGCCTCACCTTCAGTGGACTGCTCAATGCCTTGGATGGTGTGGCTTCCACTGAGGCCCGCATTGTGTTCATGACCACCAACCACGTTGACAGGTAGGAAGGAGCCAAGCATCCTGAGACTGAGGCAAGAGCCCACCCACTCCCCTAGTGCCTTGGGAGGAACAGGAGGTCGAGGAGCCATCTCTGTTGGGTACTAGTGTGACCACTGCCTGTGACTCTGCTTTCCCTATCTTCTCTCAGGCTGGACCCCGCCCTGATACGCCCCGGGCGAGTGGACCTGAAGGAGTATGTGGGCTACTGCTCACACTGGCAGCTGTCCCAGATGTTCCAGAGGTTCTATCCAGGGCAGGCACCTTCCTTAGCTGAGGACTTTGCAGAACATGTCCTTCAAGCTACAACCCAGATCAGTCCTGCCCAGGTGCAGGGCTACTTCATGCTGTATAAAAATGACCCTGTGGGGGCAATTCACAATGCTGAGTCTCTGAGGAGGTGATCAGGCTGGGCTCAGCTCAGCTCTCCTCCTTTAGTTCAATAAACATCTGCCACACTACTCTGCTCTCATCTCCCTTTATCACTGAATTGGTACTTGAGTAAGACAGGGGCTGCAATCACAGGTGTAGAGGACTACGAGACGTTCCCGATAAGTCCTGCTCTTGCAAACGAAGCAGGGTGGTGGGGGCTTGTTTATGTGTAAACATCTTGAAAATCCAGAAAGTCAGGGAAAGGTCAGAAAAACAACAATGTGTCTTGTGACTTGGCAACATTCCACAAACTGTATAAAATAAAGCAGAGCGCGCCATTCGAGGCGGCCGCCATGTTTGTCTTGTCTTGTGTTGTCTTGTGTGTTCATTCCTTTGTTTAGGAAACACGCGGACCCCAATACACAGGTGCTTATAGGGATCAGCCAGGCAACCAGACACACAAATGATGGGGCACAGCCTAAGATAAAGAGATGAGACACAAAACGGGAAACTAAATTCCTCTACCTAAAGGCATTCTATGTATATAAATAATGGACAGGTGTGTATGTGTACACAATGGGTTGTTAATGGTGGGTCCTAAGGACTCTGCTTACATGCTGACATCCCACTAGTTTTCCCTGAAACCCACTATACTAGCTGCTGAGATGTCAGACCCTCTACCCAGCTCTTTGGAAAATAGACTTCAGAGTGAAGTTGGGAACTGTTCTGCCACACCCCAATCTTACTAGGAATTGAGAAAAAGAGCCATTCCTCACAGGCTAGGTGCTGCTGAGCAAAGAAAGCCAAACAAGGCCAAATATCTTTATTGCCCCCCTCCCATCCCCAATTCCCTGTCCCCCACAAGTCCTGCTAGGAACCATCCTCAGATTCCAGGCCCAGGGGCTCCCTCCGAGTACCAGGCCGGTATGCTCCCTGGCCCCGAGGCAGGCGGGGGTAGGAAGAACCCGGTGTCCGGCCTTTAGAGCGCTCCCAGCGAACACAGTCCCGAGTCCTGCGGGGTGGGGGGCCCTGCCAGCTGCCAGGCCCCTTCTCTTGTGGAGGACCTTCAACTCCTTGGCTATGGGGTTCTGGCTTTAGGTCCATGGGCTCCTTGAGGGGCCCCTCAGGAGGTGGCAGTTCCTGGGTGTCACGGGTACCTTTAGGGGCGTGGCACTCCCCTCCCTTCGGGTGCCTCCGTTCGGGCTGTCGCCAGGGACCTCGACTGGGCTTGGGGGGATCTAGCATAGCTTTCTGGGTTTCGCCCAACCTTTGCTGATTTGACCCAGCCCCTGGAAT